TTTTCTTGGGAAGCCTTCCTTCCCAACTTATATAGATGTCCACCTTCCTGCTGGGTCTCACAGGGCCTCTTACCTGTACACATATGGAAAGATAGGTCACTGCTGTCACGTTCAGTTTTTATGAGGACAGCAGATTAAACCCTACACTTATGATCTCATCACCTCTCTCTAGGCCTTATCTCGAAACACAGTGCCTTGGGGTCTATGGCTTGAATTGGAGGGACGGGGATCAGAAATCAGTCAGTAACAGTGATATAAATCATGGTTCAGATAGCTGAAGTCTCCAGACTTTGAGGTGCTAGAGTCTCCTTCTAGGGGTGATTGCTAGATTCTTTCTTTGGAAACAAAGAATTGAATGAAACAAGCATAAGTGGTAGCAAAGTTTCACATTTATTCAAGGTATGAAAAAAAATAGAAGCATAGAGAAAAACAGGCTGCAGAACAAACGTGGGCCGAGTAAAAGTAACACAGACAAAAACAATTTAAATAAAGGTAGACTCAATGTAGGCTCCTGTGAAGAGACAAAATTAGCCAGCACTTAATGATGATTGTCCTTTTTTATGTGTCCCATGCTGGGTTCATGTCTAGGTCATACTATCAAAAACCTGGCTGAGTTCTTTCGAGAAGTCCACATGCAGGGCTCTGAGGCATGTGTCCGGGACTCTTGTCCCACCTCCATTCCCAGCTAGTTTCAGCCACATCTTACTTTTCTGCTTCACTGGTATTTTTTTATAATACACTTAGTAGTATAAAAGACTGTGGTTATTAGTCATTTAAGAATAATAATTTGACACCAGTGAAGCGATGTTTTGGCCATATACTGACTCTATTCAGAGAACAGTTACGTATATTGATTTATTAGCACTTATATTTGCAATGATTGACATTAGTTTTGGATGAAGAGCATATCAAATTATTAAATACTAACAATTGCTGCATAACAAGTTCTCCTCAAACCTCAGATGCATGCAAATATAGTAAATATAAGTGGTTAATTGACTTGACATTACACGCTAAGCCCTGGTAGGCATTTTGCTAACAGTAAAATAGATACTGAAAATCCTCACTATTTTAAAGATATTCTGTTTGTGTGTGTGTGTGTGTGTGTGTGTGTGTGTGTAGATGGGTGGCTAGATCATTGAGTCATTGAACATTGATCCAGCCCTCCCACACACTGGGTAGTGCTCATGGCAGAGGATAAAGCATGAGCAGGATGGTTAAGTTTCTCACAGTGTAGAAGGAAAACAAAAAGCAAAAACTAAACTATGAATATGTGGGTACAGTTGAAGGAGTGCAAGGGCTGCTACTGAATACAGAAGAGGTCACTTAGGTACCCTGATGAGGTCTACTAATGCTGTTAATGGGAAATGGTACCTAATTTTAACCTTCAAGAATAAAGAGATATTGATTGGTACAGTGTTTCAAAATTACACTTATCTCAATTCCCTGTGAATCTTTTTATAAATAATGAATTTTTAAAGTCCTGGAGTAAATGAATCCAAATTCTTGAGTCTGAATATCTGCAATATGTATTTTTTAAAACCCTCATCTGATTTCAAAGAACAGATGTTGCTAAAATATTGACCTAGACACATGAGAAGTAGAGGGCATTCTTACAACAGAATTGAGCTGATAATTTCTGGCTAATTGCAGTTGGATCAGAGGAGCTGTTCTAAAGACTGACTGGAAACATAGTAGAATAAAGGCCTAAAAACTGGATGCATAAGAACTAAGATACATCATGTTCAGGTACAAACACCCAATGATAAATGTAAATGTATTGTATACCTAAAATGTACCAATTAATATTAAAAAAACTGGATGCAAACCAAATAAACCAGGTAAAGTGCAAACCACACAAATACTTGTAAAATGAATGACTAGATGAGTTATTAGGACTTTGCATTTGTTTACAATTTTATACTTATCCTGAAGTTTATAGGGAACCAATGACAGATTTCATGCAGGAGAGTGAAACTTGAGATTAGAAAACATTACTTTAATGTGACAAAGAAACCTATACATTTTGTGAGTTTCTTGTCAATTTCCTGGAGATGTGACCTGCTACTGTACATGATGATTTCCCTAATTCTTAATCTTTTGTGTAAAGTGCTTAAACTCAGTAGTTGGATCTGAAGGTTACCTAAACTCATTAGCAGAAGGAATGAAGTAAACCTCACAGCGAAAGTACCCACTGTCCTAATTTCTACCTTTTCTGAGAATCATGACATAAACTACAGAGGAAATATATTCATTAAATTTTCTGGCATTGTAATGAATAATTTAAACATATAAATGATACTCTGCATATTTTATTTTATAATGGAACATATAATCTCTTCTGGTTTTGACAGCAAGCTTTCTTTTTTTCCAGTTCAAGTTTTGCAATGTTATATCTTGGAAGAGCACTTAGCTGACTATAAAAAAAAAGAAAAAAATAGGCTTCTTAGTCCTCCATGAGTAATAGGTTGAAGAAGAAAATAGAAAAATAGAAAAAGGGAAGACAGAACTGAGATAACCACCATCACCTTGAACTTTAATCAATCAACTGTCATCCTGCCTGCATGTGTATGGTGTGGAGGAGCACACTGGAGACAATGAACTGACTCATCACTTGGGATGACTCCCCAGGGCTGGGTCATGCCTAAGGAGAGAAGCCCAAGAGATCAGATGCCCATAGGCAGTATGACATTAACTTGGGAGTCACAAACAAGCAGGGGGCTAAGGGAATTTAGAGTCCTGCCAACCCAAACAAATTAGTCCCAGGACAGTCACTGTCATCATACAACCCTTGAATAGCTATGTTTCTGGCTCTCTTCTTTAAACTCCAGTTCATCTGTTCTCCCTTTATTTTCATAAAACCTTACTACATGCAGTTCTGTATGACTTTATAAGACTCATCATGCTACAATTTCATGTACGTTGTTCCCTTTGCCTCATACACTCTTCACTTTTCTTTCTTCTAACAAATAATATTCCTTTGGATGAACTTTGCCTGTTCTCAATGTACCTAGTGTTCCTGTAGATCAATTTGTTCAGTTTCTTTGTTTAATTGTTTCTCTCCCATATTCCAAATTTGGTGGTATCGGTTCAGTTCTTTTAGGCATCCAACAAGAATAGAATTACTAGACAATCAGGTAGAATAAATAGAGAATGATAGAAAACTATGGACTTCTAGTCATATGTCCTTCAGGAAAATAAGTTAAAATTAAGTTTACCTCATCGATTTCTTTAATATACAAATGTACATAGAAATCAAATGTAATTTGCTTTACAACTGCAGTGCTACGTCACTTCAGGAGCTTAATTCACTCCACGATTCTGGGGAAGACGGCTGCATTGGTGTTCATGCAGGGAAGATGGCTGGGATGGTGTTTGTCACCCTATGCAGAGTTAAAAAATGGAAGAAAATTTTGTGAACTGAACTGTTAGGGTTGTTCACAAACAAAAGCGTTCATGGACCAAGGTATGACTATCCTTATTTTTAAAGACCAAGATTTTTTTCCATTAAGTTTATTGGTACATTTTAGGTATACAATACAGTTACATTCATCATTGGGATATTGTACCTTTACATGAATATCTTGGTTCTTATTTTTTCCCCATTCCCCTTCCCTCCCTTCACCTGCTCTGCCCTTCCATATTTACAAAGACTTTGTTTCCATGTTTTTCCTTTTCTCATATTTTTTCTTTTCCCTTCTTTCTTTTCCCCTACCCCTCCCACTTTCCCTACTCCTTTAGATCTTTTCTTCCTATTTCACAATATCAATTGTACATTTTGATCCTATTTGCACTCTTAGTTTTTCACACCAGAGGAACTATTTGGTATTTACACATGTGTGTCCTATTTATTTCACTTAGGAGTATGGCCTCAATGTGCATCTGCTTATCTATAAATGTCTCTAGCTTCTCATTCTTTATGGCTGAGTAGTACTCCATTTTATAAAAAAAATCACATCTTCTTTATCTAGTCTCTAGTTGATGGGCAATTGGGCTGTTTCGAAGCTTTAGCTATTACAAACTGTGCCACTATAAACATGGGTGTGAATATATCCCTGTGCTATGATTCTTTTAATTCTTATGGGAAAATACCCAACAGGGAATAGCTAGGTCAAATGGGATATCTAATTCTAGTTTTTTGAGGTATCTCCATATTGATTTCCACAGTGGTTGTACCAGTCTACACTCCCACCAACAATGAAGAAGGATTTCTTTCTCCCCACAACCCTGCCAACATTTGTTATTGGCTGATTTCTTGATAGCAGCTATTCTTTCTGGGGTGAAGTGGAATCTCAGCATTGTTTTCATCTGAATCTCTCGAATGACCAGTGATGATGAACATTTTTTCATATGCATATTTGCTGCTCTTTCTTCTATGTCCAAGAAATGTCTGTTCATTTCAGATGCCCATTTTTGAATTGGATCTTTATGTTTGGGGGATCTGGGGGTTTTTTTGTTAGTTCTTTATATATTCTAGATACTAGACCTTTGTCTGAGGTACAGCTGGTAAAATTTTTTCCCACATTGTAGGTTGTCTCTTAGCTCTGTTGGTGGTTTCTCTTGCAGTGCAGAAGCTTTTTAATAAGATGAGATCCCAGTTGTTGATTCTTTGTGCTAGTTCCCGTGCTACTGAGGTTTTGTTCATAAAGTCTTGTCCTATGCCAGTGTCTTCGAGGGCTCTACCTAGCTTATCTTCCAGCAAGTTTAGTGTTTCTGTTTTAATATTTAAATCTTTAATCCACTTTGATTTTAGTTTTGTGCATCGTGGAAGATAGGGGTCTAGCTCCCCAGAGCGGCTCACTCCGATACCTGCTGGGCTGCGGGATGTCTGAAGATCCACGGCTGAGAACAGTTGCGTCTCCATCTGGCTCCCAACCCACCGAGCTTTCTTCTCCACCACCACCTTCCAGCCTCCCCCTCCTCCCCTCCTTGCCTTCTTCCCTCTCCACCCCCGCCCCCAATCGCCTCCTCTTTTTCTCACTAGAGCAGAGCCATGGCTGATGCTGAAGCCAAGCATCACTTCGGCTCCCACGGCAGACATGGCGACACTGACAGTGGTCCAGCCGCTCACTCTGGACAGAGATATTGCAAGAACAATTGAATTACTGGACAAACTACAGGAATCTGGAGAAGTAAAAGTGCACAAGCTACAGTCCCTCAAAAAAGTGCTTCAGAGTGAGTTTTGTACAGCAATTCGACAGGTATATCAATATGTGCATGAAACGATGACTGATAATGGCTGTCCTGAATTCTGTGCAAGGACTATACCAAAGGTAGTATTGTGTGTACGCTGTAAGGGAATTTAGACATCAGTGGCAGCCCAGAGTCTAGAACCATTACTACTTCCCAGGCAACAGTTGCATCTTTTGCAGCTAGTAAAAGCCACCCTCACCCTCATGTAGTCGAACTGCCAAAGACTGATGAAGGCCTTGGTTTTAATATGATGAGAGGAAAGGAGCAAAATTCCCCAATTTATATCTCTCGTATCATTCCTGGAGGGGTGGCTGAAAGACAAGGAGGACTCAAAAGAGGAGACCAGCTGTTCTTGGTGAATGGAGTGAGTGTGGAAAGAGAACACCATGAGAAAGCTGTGGAACGACTCAAGGCTGCCAAGGACAGCATCCAGCTGGTGGTTAGATACACACCAAAAGTGCTGGAAGAAATGGAGGCTCACTTTGAAAAGCTATGGACAGCCCGATGTCGACAGCAGCAGTAATTGCTCATTCAGCAGCAGGAACAGGAACAACAGCAACAAACACACCACAACCATACATCATAGGCCCTTGAGGGAAAGTGACTTGATCAAACATCTGATAGTCACAAATTTGAAAACGTGCTTCAGAATCCCAGCACACAGTAAAAGACAATTCCAATAATTATACCTGTCAAGAAGCTGTGAACACATGGTGTATAAATTCTTTACCAAGACAACTCGACACCTCCTTTCTCTGGGCCTGCACCCCTTGCTCATGTGCTCTTTACACACACCAACCTTCCATCCACTGCAGTGGGAATTTCCAGTGTGGGAAGGGAGAGACCTTCCAGTCCACAGCCTGAAACAGGATAAGAACAGTCTGACTTTTGAATAAATCACCACCAGGGCCAGGATTAGGTCAATTTTTGGTCTGAGACTTTTCCAGAGAATAACAACCCTCTCCTTGTGCTGTAGTTCAAACTGCATCAGTTCAAGGTTGCTGCCCCTATACACTGCCTCTCCCCTAACCTGTTCCACAACCCCCATTGCTGAGTTATCTGAATTGGAATTCCAATTAATTGAAAATTCAGCATCTAATCTCCTCTTGAAAATGGCAAGTTACTATACTATATACTTTTTTCAGGCTCTAGAAACAATTGGGTTCTTATTTTCTGTTTTCATGAATTTTAATGCATTAACTGAATGAGAAATTTTCAGCTCAACTTATAGTTTATTAGAAGCAAGGGTAGGAACCCAGTACTGTACTTTTTAATTTAAATATTGCTTACATCTATTATTATAAAGCCTAACAGAATATAATGTATATTTATTTCACAAAATGCGTATTATCGGAGTACATTTGTGATAACTTAGAGGCTTTCCTTACCAAGAGTTATGGCTCTGGTAAGAGAATACTAGCAAAGGACCTACCTTCATGAACTTATCATATATATATACATACATATATATGTGTGTGCATGTATGTATATATAATCTCAATTTTGCTTAAGTTTTATATTTTTTGATTGATACACTCTGGAGAAATATAAACTTCTTTATATATCAGTATCCTGTCATAGATGTCTATTTGACATTTGAAAGTTTTGGTCTTTACAACTCTCTCTATATATATATATATTTTTTTTTTTTTTCAAAAATAGACATATGTAAGCCAGTGATATCAATTTTGTGGCTGACAAATGCTTTTCTCTAGAAGGAAAAGATACTTCATTTCACATATTCCTGTAAGTAAATAGAGAAGGAAATATCTTTGGAAAGATCTATTAGAGCCATGCATACAAATCATAACTGTTTACCTACAGTAAATCTAGGCACTTAATCTGGTTTTAATTTATGGAATTAATAGGAAGTAATAATAAGGAGGTACTTAAACCCTTAAGCACAAAAATGTACCTAAGAAAAGAAATAATTGCCCAGTTGAAATTATCTAGATAGATCGTTAAACAGAGGCACGTATTTCAATATTCTCTTTTCTCAGATACAAACATTAATTTGCCAATGTATAATAATTTTGATACTTCAGATAGTCTCCCTCTAAATAGAAATTTATAAAACCAAGTTTAGAGACTATCTTTTTGAAAATATAACAAAACTAACAGAATTACTCAGCACATTTTATTTTGCCCTGTTGGGTGGTGTTATTGTCAATACCAAGTTTTCACTCTTCATAGTGCATCACTTACCAGGCGACAAACAGCAAGGAGCCTGGGGAGTACAACAGTGTCTTGCTGTGAAAGAGGTTTCCAGCCTCGAAAACATAATCATATTTTACTAGCGAGAGGTGGGGATATGGGTGGGGCAGTGAGGACCCTGAATGCTATGTGAAATAGGTTTACAAAAGAGACGAGCATGACATAGGGCATAAATGGAGACAATATGAATGTTATGCAGTTTGAAAGATAGTTCTCATTTTTATAAGAAAAATTTAATAAAACGTAACTTTTAGTTATCATTTATCAAAGAAATATTAGAGGTATTCAGGCAGTATCACAAGATTCTCATAAAAGGAAATCATTGCACCCTTGTAATAAGAAAATGGTTCTCTCAACACATTTCAATACATTGTATTAATTTGGAGCTTAAGGTAAGTATGTTATTGTTTAGCTGTTAAATGTTCAGATAATATGAACTTCTATAGTTTCACATCAATATCATCATGGCATTACAGAAGCAACTATCAAATCAGCAGATCCCTTAAATTTCAGTTTTCTAGAAGTTTTGTATTTTTATATTTGTATTCTAGAAATTTTGCATAATGTTCAGTTCTGATAAATGTCTACTAGGTTGTTTGTCAAGGCAAAGGACCAATCCATCATATCTATGGAATCTATGATTACAATATATGTCACAGTGGTCTTACAAACAAATGACCTAAACTGAATTTGTTAAAATGTAAACCTTCCCCTGAATTTTTGTTTTGTTTTTTCTTTTGGTACTCGGGATTGAACTCAGGTCCTTAGCTTGCAAGGCAGGCGGTGGAAGCACTGAGCTAAATCCCCGGCCCTTTTCCCCTGAATTTTTAATGAAAAGTAACCACCCCTAGAAAAAAAATAAAGATGGGGTAGAGTTTTAATCTTTGGCAAGTTGAAACCCAATTTTTCCAACACAATTTATTAAAGAGGCTTTCTTTCCTCCAGTGAGGATGGTTGGCTCCTTTGTCAAAGATGAGGTAGCTGAATATGTCTGGAGTTGTTTCTGCATCTTCTATTCTATTCCACTGATGCTTGGGTCTGTTTCTTTGTCAGTGCCATGCTGTTTTTATTACAGTGGCTTTGTAGTATAGTTGCAAGTTGGAGATTGTGTTACCCCCCACCTCATCATGTCTTTGTTGCTCAGAATTGCTTTTGCTATTCTAGGTCTCTTCTGGTTCCAAATGAACTTTTGGATTGTTTTCTCTAGACCAAGATTTTTAAAGATGAGTTAATAAATAGATTAGTTATTTCAGAACTCCACTGGTCCCAATTTTCTTGGTTCCACCTATGGAGGCTTTACTTGATAGACTAGGAATGCCACTTACAAATGAAGAAAACATGAGGACTGTCATTTAAGGAGTTTAGGACCTCAGACATACAAATTTCAAAATTTGAGATTCTTAAATAGAAACAGGTTTTTAATATATATATATACATTGCTAGCCTTAAAAACTATATAACATGGGAATTTTATCTCTGAAATAATTTTATTGATTAGTGTTTCTATTTTATATTATTTTTCTTTACTAATTAGGATGTAAATTCTAAAGGTAATTCTAGAAATGTCAAGATTCTATTCATATTTTAAATTCTCAAGAAAATCAGCATTTGGGTAGAAAAGTCAAAGTGTTGACAGTAACCAACTTCTTCTGAGTTAATTTTATGTATTTAAAGAAGAAATTATAAGTAAAAACAAATCTTAAAAAGTATTAAGTTATAACTGGATACTATTAGCTGTTGAATATTTAGAACTGGCACCTCAGAATATTACAAGGAAAAAGAGCAAATAATGGAGTTATTAGCTATACATAGCAAAACTTTTGAAAGTAAAAATAATAGACTACTCATGAAGTCAACAAAAGGATTACAGAAAAGAAAACTGAATATTCCTCACAATAATAGGAATTATTATTTTTGCATAATTATATTTAATGGCTTGTTTTCTGTGACATTTCAAATAATTTCCTATGTCAGCAGGAACATGCATCCTACATCTTGGAAACATGAGGACTAGATGAAAACAACTAACCAGACTCACATCAAGTTTTCTCTCTTTTTTCATTCATTATCTTGACTTTTATTTTGCCTTGTCTAAGAAAGTGAGCTCAAGGTTGAGAGAGAGAAAGCGGAAGCATAGTGTGCTCTCCAGGTGTGAAGGGTCTATTTACCTGGCCCATTCTAAAGAGCATCTGTGTGCAAGACACAACTCTGTCATCCACAGCTCTTCCCACTGTTCTCATAAAATGAAAAAAATTTTACAAAAGAGTTCACTTAGTCATAATAATTTACTACACGTTTTTGCCACATACCTTTTGATGTCTTCCTCAAATTATTGCAGTGACCAAAGGATTAAATATTCTTGCAATCCCTACACAGACTTCTTGAATTCTCACTGCCTGAAAACTTGAATAAGTTCAGGGAGAAGTTCCAAGTCAGTGTTATAAAATACAACCTAATCTGAAGCAATCAAAGCAGAAATAACACAATTCATAATAGCTAAAATCTTGGAAGTGGCCTATATGGACATCAACAGATGAATGGTTAAAACAAAAGTGATATTTACACACAATGGAGTACTACTCTGTCATAAAGAAAGATAAACTTGAGTCATTTGTAGGAAAATGGATGCACCTTAAGAACACAACATTAAAAAAAAAACAGTTTTAAGTGGAGTAAAGACATACATGCTTAAATATTGCATGGTTTCTCTTGTATGAAAAATTTAAAATGTAAATTAAGAGCAAAATGAAAGGAGATAATAGGAAATAATGAGATACTTTAGATCTTTTATAAGTGGAAATAGGACCAAGGGATGGAGAGAAGTAGAAGCAGAGGGGAAAGGGATGAAAAAAGAATTAAAATGCATTACACATAACAACTTCCCATTTGTAATGTGGGTACTGCATTAGGCACTGCAGTTTGTATTAATAAAAAAAATAAAAACTGAAAAACAGCAGAAATAATATGTAGGCATAAAAGATTTTTTTTTAAATTATCTTCTCAATTTAAGCCTATATCAATTTTTCTTTATTAAAAAGATACATACTTTTATTAAAACATTATCACACTTTTGCTTTATTTAGAAAAGCTAAGTCTGAAGCAATATTTAAGACAGAACCATTTTTGATATGTATAGTCAAATAATTTTTTAAATTGTCCAAGACAATCAAACCAAAGATGCAATTTATTCAGACAGATAACCATTGAAACAATTTTCTAATGATCCAGAAGTCTCTGAAAGTCTTTACTTTCAAAAGAGAGACTTAAGTTCTTATCACAGACATTGAAAAACCTTAATGCTACACCATG